AGATCCTATTATCTTCCCTGTTTTATGGTATTTTGGGATAATAATTTATAACCTTTTCTTTATTTTTAAATATAATGTATAATCAACCCCTCAATTTGATTAAAACACAGATCCTATTTCGTTTCGTTTTTTATAGTTCAAAATTTTGTTTTACTTGTCTGGAAGAGTTGTTACATAATCGGTCTGATTAAAACACAGATCCTATTGACCTGGAACAGTTGTTATTATCGGCGTGTTCTGAATGGTGTGAGGGATTAGCCAATGAAACGGTCTGTTACGGCGTGTTCGTGTCGTGTTATGCACGGAACTGTGGGTAATCCACTAGTTACATCAATGCTGATTGGTTAATCAAATGACGTAATAGGGTCAAAAGTCGCTCGTATGACCCCTGACGCAACCTTCCACTACAACCGATCAGATCTTCATGTAGTGTAGGCCATCGAAAGTATAAAAACGAAACGAAATATACATCTGTATTTTAATCAAATTGATTTTGTTTCTCTCTGTTAAAATGTCTAATTCTGTAAATAAATAAACAATTAGTATAATTAATGAGCATAAGGCCTGTCATTGAGTCAACTGGCGGGGTTTCGATTCCCTGGTTCTACGTGACAAGGAGTGGGATCGCCTTCCAATCTCGTGGGTTTTCTCGGGGTCCACCGGTTTCCTCCCACTTATTGAAATAAAATTGAACCATATGTTAGTTCCAATATGACCTAGTTTGAATCGAGTGGGCGTTTAAACCCCATTTTTCTCTTTCTCTCTTTCCTTAAAATAAAACAATGGATGAAAATATTCGGCACAATTAGCACCTCTCCACATCCTTTCACACATCATGGTAAACATCACCAAAATACGCTAAAACTATAAAATATGTAATAACAATTTCAGGCTTAATTAACATGCAAATTTTCGTCTTTAGTTGATAATATTTAACAACTAACAACCCACTCCCATATACACCCAGTATCTTTAGTTGATAACACCGAACAAACTATCAACCCCACCCCACCCCCACACACCATCATCTAAATTACTAATATACATTAAAAACTATCTATGGGATAATAATTACTGGTTTATTAAACATACATTATGTATTGCAGGTCTTTCTTTAGGTCTGAAATGTTATCTTAATTATTAATTAGACATTAATCAACTTATCCAGACCATAATCAACCCTCGATGTCATCGCTAGTCTGCGATATTTACTGGAATAGGATCCGATTTGCTGCTCAACTTTCATTCATGATTTAATCATGAAATGGATAATCGAGACTATGATTTTATCGTACCGACTTTAGTAATGATGATCTAGGCAAAGCCGAAAATTCAATTGCTAAATTCTCGGTTCAGAGTGGATCAATTTGACTGACATTTTCAGCAAATTGCCTTTACAGTATGTAGTTTTTAACTATTATAGTGAGAACTGTCAACTCTTTATCAAATCTCCCATAATGTATCTTTATCATGGAACTCTCGTATTTATCAAGCAAAGATAGGAGTACGGTCGCCGTAACATTTTTAATATGTTACTGTTTAATAAATAAATGTCACCGAAAGAAATTACATGTATCTTTAAATTGTTTCAATGGCATTTAGTAATTTAACTGTAAACGCAGGAGACGCTAGTCTATGTTCAGACGCCATCTTTATTAGCCCAATCGGGGCAGAAAAGTAGAATGTTAAACCCCAAGAATCCGAGTGGAAACTTTAGTCAGAAATAAACAGTAATGTATTGAATAGAAGTGTGTCCTATATGTCATACTAAACATAGGCTGTCTGTCTACAGTTAGCTCCACTTGAGAACGAAAATGAAATGAAATGAAATGGAGTTTAACGTCCTACTGTTCTGCTCCTAACCTGGGCTAATGAAGACGGGCATACGCCATACAGTGTGCTATGAGGTAAATTTTGCCCGGACAGCGGCACTACGGCCTACTCTTATATCGAATTCCAACTGCCAAGGGATCTTTTACGTGCACGCCAATGTGTACACGGGACCTCGGTTTTTCGTCCCATCCGAACGACTAGACAGCTTTCCTTGTCAGCCCCTCCGTCCTGCATCACTGACAAGGGAGAACCACGCCGGAAAATCTGGATGAACTTTCTCGGCCAATGCAGGGATCGAACACCCGACCTCCAGGCTAGCGAGCTAGCGTCTTACCCACTTAGCCACTTGAGAACAGACACTAATCTAGTTGAATCCTAAATCGACGATTTAAGTCGAAAACACAAAGTAAACATCGAGAATTTTGTTAAGTATTTATTCTGCTTCCATTTAATACAATTGAAAAAGTTTATTTAGTCTTTGCGTGTATGACATATGTGAAACGGAGTAGAACATAATTACAGAAAACAAATATACTAATTTTTAGATATGGCTGCCATTTAGGGCAGAGATCAATTCTCGAAGTATGAAGTAGATGGCCCCCTGTGGTCAGAATCTCTTATATGTATTTTATAAAGATATTAGGATTCTAAAGTTGAAATATCTCTCAGTCAGAAACAGTCATTGAATAGCATTATATCCTACATATTGTATATTTTAGGATTGTTTGATAATAATGGGGTTTGAATGGCTGAATGGTTAGCACGTGCGCGTTGTATCATAAGGCCTGCCATTGAGTCAACTGGTGTGGTTTTGATTCCCCGGTTGTACATGACAAGGAGTTGGAGCGCATGTCCAACCTCGTGGGGTTTTTTGGGTCCTCCCACTGCTAATGACCCCTATGCGCAAACGAATTATTGAAATAAAATTGAACCATGTGTTAATCCCGAAATGACCTAGTTTGTGTCGAGTGGACGTTAAAAACTCTCTCTCTCTCTCTCTCTCTCTCTAAATACTAGAGAAGCCTAGTGGAAACGTCGCTCATTAATAAGCAGTAATTGTACTTTATAGAATTGTAACCAGTGTATAGTGTTACCCTATGATAAATGAAATGAAATGGGATTTAACGTCCTACTGCTCTGCTCCGACTGGGCTAATTCCTGTGAAAAAAAAAACAAAAACAAAACAGAACAGCTTAATTAAAAAAAAAGTCTTCATTAGCCCAGTCGAAGCAGAGAAAAAAAAATGAATTTGTATGTATTTTTTTTCTCTCTCAGAGATGAACAGAATGATATAATTTTACTGGTTACTTATTGACATCGATATAAATGTCAACTCTAAACAAGATGAATTTATTGAAATATTTTTGTAAATGTCAATTGTGTAGCAGATAAATCTATGGTAATAACAATAAATACAGGAAGACCACACAGAACACAAAACAAAACCGATAGAGCCACCGACAATCCATACTGACATTAAAAAAACATAACAAAATTTATATGGGAAAAAATCACTAGTTTGTACACGTCATATACCACGACGTCTCGATTCGATACATTTGTGCTTAATAATGATAATAATGGAGAGAGAGAGAGAGAGAGAGAGGGGGAGAGAAGAGGAGAGAGAGAGAAGGGGAGAGAAGAGGGGAGAGAGAGGGAGAGAGAGAGTGAGAGAGAAGGGGAGAGAAGAGGAGAGAGAGAGAGAGGGAGAGAGAGAGAGAGGGTAACATGGGACTAACACATGGTTCAATCTTATTTCAATAATTCGCTTCCGCGTAGGGGCCTTTATCAATGGGAGGAAACCGGAGGACCGGGAGAAAACCCACGAGGTTGGACAGGCGACGATAATAATTATAAGAGAAACGTTGTGGTATATGTGTATAGAGATTGTGTTGTGTTGGTTTATTATAGTCAACTACTAAATACAATTGAAACATTATACTCAGACATTGACAGAATTTAAAGGGACAATAACACTCTTGCTGGCTTGACAGCTCCAAAAAATAAAAAATAGCCTTATTCCAAGTTCCAGATGTGTTAGTGTCTTACCTGTTGTGTAAATTATACATTAAATCCTATTTTACTTGTCCAGAGGGTTCAAAAATATTTTTAAATCCAAGTCACATTTGAAAAGGTTTACGAAAGGCTTTTCAAATAATTTAGTTGAATTTTTCCAATTTTTTAAATTAGGTGTGTTAAGATGAAATTTGTATCATCAATTAATTGGAATATTGTAAAATAGTACAATTTGTTGACCAGAATAAAGACTGGGACATAGTATTCAGTAACAAGAGTCGTATTAAGCCTTTAACAACAAAATATCAACTCAAGTGAATGGATCCGGGAGCCAGCCGTAGGTCTCTAATGCGTTGTACATAATTTATCAGAATTGATGATAATAAATTGCTTAAACTGTATTTAAATAATCAGATTTTTATTAAATCAGAAAGAATAAGAATATCAATTTAGATTTTATCACATTTCTTAATAAGTAGAATTGATAATAATAAATTGCTTGAAAAAGATATTTAAATAAACAAATTATTTTCAATTCTCAAATGAAGAAGAATTAAGAAATGAAATTAGTTTTTGATCATATTTTCCTAATAAGGAATATGTTAAGCACGTGCTGTATGGTTTAAAACAATACGGTAGTTGAATAATAATCAACACTTGTATGTTTATTACATGTTCATTACACGTTAATCTAGCTACTTACAGAGGTCATCTGTGTCACAGATTGTGTATAACGGTCGCGTTCCCTCCGCACCTTACCGTCACGGTAGCTACCTGATTTCGGGAATCGTTTTCAAAGGGGCACGGGTCTGCCACTGTGTGGAGTTAATTAGTTTATATTACCTGTTGTACGTGTTTATTATAAATGCGTTGTACAGGTGGTCAGGATTGTTTTATTAGATCGACAATAAAATACCGTTAATGGTTGTTAACAAGTTCTCTATATTTATCAGTAATCACAATAAAACTCGCTAAATGACAAAATATTAATACTGCCTTGCTTCCATCCAGAACAAGGCAATAGATTAACGCTGTAGATGAAATGGGCGGGACCGGAATGACGACATCCACCAATCATGGTTAACGACACAGCCTGCTGGAAGAACTGTCGGCGTTTTGTAAAGGATTCCGAGCGTTTATTAACCAAACCTGATCAAGTTTAGTCACATTACAATTTCATCATGAATCGAGAAGTCACTAACATGCATTTGAGTTTATCGTCAAATTCTTTAACTTCAAATAACGTTGGTAAGTTTATCTTTTTAATTGTTTCGCTTCATTCTTTTTTTTTTTTTTTTTTGCGGCTTTGTTTACGTTTTCGCTGACGTTTTCTTCGCTCAGTGACATCTATGCCGAACAAATTGGGCCTAATAAGAGCTGATTTTTGGCTATTATCTCTTTGCCAGCTGATAGGATCGTTGTGTGATTTAATTCATTTCGGGCAAAATTAAATCTGCACGTACCAATTCTGTGCTGGTCTGATAATGACAGGGCTGAATATAAGCAGACGACACCAGTCTTCCGACATTTCTTTATTTCTACTGATTTCATTTAAAATCTTGGGACTTGTTCACAATTTATCCACGGATATATTCTTGTTGGAAAATCAACCATTGTTTGACTTCCAAAATTCTACAAAACGAAATGGTTTGACATTTTTTTTATTCTTTCAATTTAATTTTATCCCTTGATTGGTTCACCATTATTATGTTGCGATTTGTATTTGTATATAAATGAAGCTCAAATTATATTTTTCTTCTCCAACAGTTTTTAAATATTTATTTTATCTTTTGATTTCATTTTAATTTTTTTTAATCAATTTTTATTTGATGGTTGCTTCAGTTCATTCAAATTATAATCGTTATTATATTTTTATGTTAACAGCTCGCAGTACAGTTTCTCCGAACTCTTTGAAAGATTTGTCGGATAAGGATAGAAACATCCACGATGATTCGGATCCGTCATGTTCGGACTTGGACAAACCATCGAAACAGAAGCGACACCGGACAAGATTTACACCGGCGCAGTTGAATGAGCTCGAGAGGAGTTTTGCCAAGACACATTACCCCGATATTTTCATGCGAGAGGAGATGGCATTAAGAATTGGTTTGACAGAATCCCGTGTTCAGGTAGGAACAATTTAAAATTATTTCATGATGATTATATATTAGTATCACTGGCAATATAACTTAATATCAACACATTGAGCCTTTATAAATATCACTAAAGATAAATATAAAATATAATATATACTTATAAAAAATAAATATTAGTTTGGTAACGTGGAGAGAATACTATTCGAATCGACCCCCAAATTAATTAATAGTAGTTCTTACATAAGTATGTATTATAGTTTATACCCCTATCCAGTTACTATAAAATAGTAAAATAAATACATAACGCCTACAATTTATTAAAATGTTTATTTATTTATTTGTAACATGTCATTAACCTTTGAGAAATTTCATTTACAATAAACATAATTGATAAAAAGCCGAATGAATATTCTAGAATTTCGATATTTATATAAAGGATATAAATAGTTATAATATAATGAATTTATTAAAATAATTAATTAATAATAATTATGGTTCTTCAATTTTATATAGAATATTTATATTTATCAACAGAAAAGTCGCTTTCTATATTTTCAAATGAGATATAATCGGAGTCAATTTTTTAAAATATGCATTGAATTCAAGAGAAGACTTAAACATACATTATGCAAGAGCTTAATCTGAGTAAACTTTTAAAATATTATATCCGGAGTTTAAAAGAAGATTTGTTACCTTATTGGTATTAATTAGTATTGGAGGCAATGACCGAGCCTTGAATAAAAACATACAGATTATAAGCCCATTTTAGAAATAATTTTGACATGTGTATATCACACCCAACTAAGCGATAATTATATTTAAAAAGATATCAATTAACAACATTTTACGAAATAAAAACAAGGCGTTAGTTTTAACAGTTTTGGTATATATTCCATAATTATAGCTTTATTCTCAAATTCTACCGATCCCAATAAACATCGTTAGTTAATTATAATATTATATTTTTCAAAATTGACCTCTCATTTGAAATACATATTCTTATTTTATTTATTCAACTGTCTTGTAGGATTAAGATTGGGTTTGGGATTTCAGATTAAATAATAAAAATAAATAACGCTGTCTCTTTTAATAATTTTGTGTTTTTTATTTATTAAAATAATATATTCTATAATCTGATTCTATATGGAATTGAATTTGATAATGATTTGTGGTCTTGAAATAACATTAATTGTTTTATTTTCAATTCAGTAATTGTACAACGCATTAAAAACTATTTTTGTTGTTGTAAATAGTATATTTAACGTTCGCTGCCACCTGCTTAACATCGCCCACCATCACAGTTTTTGTTTTTTTGCTTAGAGTTTATATAAGTTTAGAATTTTGTGACTTGTGTCATAGTTATAAAAGGTATGCGTTCGACGCGTTAAACTGTTAAAAACCGTGAAAAACTACCAACTATTTTCCAATCAACAAATCAATCATTTAATCAGAGATCAGCAGTTATCGGATGAAATCGTTAATCCGGGGCAAGCAAACAATGATAACTCGGGGTGCCATTTTTCATTTGGGGAGTCCACATAGTTTAAACAATTTCGTTTTATCATCGTAATTCTTCTTTTCTATTTCTTTAATTTTTAAAAATAATTCTAAAATATTTCATAAATTAAAGAAACAAAGTTTTATTAAAAAAACTTAACATAATCTGCTCATTTTCGTGCTATTATTATATAGTCTATTATAATTTATATTTTCATAATTAAAAATAAATTGTTTTAAAAAAAAAATCAACTTTGTCTACCTCCTCACGTATTCGGTTTGTATATTTAATTAAACTTTTTCATATGATATTGAAATGGCGAAATGGAGACATTCCCCTCATGTAAAATAAGATTATTAATATTTGTGTAAGAAACAGAAAATGGCTGTGACCTTGTAATGAAACGTAATCAAGTCTTGAGGAAGAAACAATTGTCGGGGTGTCCATTCATTCTATTCTACACGCTATCCCCCTGATAAAGCTTCGCATGTCATTAGATTTTCATGGAAAATGCGTCGAAGATTCCATTTTGGCACCTCTGTAATGAACATATTAAACAGGTCGGGCAGCAATCCTCGTTTTGGACCATCAAGGGACCCGACTGTGCAATCGAAATCGGAAAACAAGACAGCAATGAGGGTTTATATATTCCCGAATCGCGTGCGAATTTGCTCAAGTCTCGCGCACTTGTCAACGCGGCCTGCTTCTGTCGGTCTCGTGGGTGACGCTCGAATAACGGCCTAACCCCGAGATTGCTACAAGAGTAATTATTACTAAATAGCTATTTCCACGTTTAGCACCAAAGGCACTGATAGTTTTCGCTATTTGAAAACTAATAGCAATATCGGGAATTAATACCAAATGAAACGCCGCTTGCCGATCGGTGTCAGTATGAAATACGGGACCGTCTAGTTGTTCGCGGCACGCGATATGAATAATTAGAGTTATATCCCGTGTCAAAGCTGGAAAAATACAAACACATAACACGATCTTAAGCAGACATTTCTTTGTCTCGGATCTTTCACCAAGACACAGGATTCTAACGATCGTTTTAACCTCCAAATATTCGCCTTTCTACAGAATTATTAATATCTTGAAATAGATGGATACAAAGAATTATTAATATCTTGAAATAGATGGATACAAAGAAAAGAAAATTAATATCTATTACGTCATAAAAACTAGACCTATTTTACTTGTTATCTGAATATCCCTAAATTGTTCCTTTTTAAGAAATATGACATTTTTTAAAATTTATTCAATAGATATGTTTAAAGAAATAATAAGATATTTTTAGGAATTTCTTCACAAGAATTTAAGAGAGGATGATTTAAACAATTGCGAGTACCCTATTCCTCGTCTCTTTCATTCACTGTGGGCCCATTTCATTCTATAGGCTTATTTCATTCTCAAAGTATAAATCATTCTCTAGGCCTAGTTTAAAATGTGTCTATTTTCATCAACATGGTTTTAATATTATTTTTTTTAAAACAAATATTGTCTTCAAATTATAATTCTTGTCTTAACAATTTATCAATGAAATATATATATAAAAAAGTGTTAAATATTAAGCATCCAATAATATTGAAATACAAGACTTGCCACAATAAAGAATAGACCAAAAACGACGTGCAGAAAAATAAGACGTTAAACCCCATTTCTTTTCATTTCTTGTAATGTTATTTAAAGATAAGTGTAATTTTGAAAACTCATGATTACGTCATACACGACGTTATTTGAACGCGGCTTTCTTTCTAACCCACCACGGTTGATAATTAGGGGACATAACTCGCAGATAGCGGTTAATTATTATAGTAAATGAGGATGAGTGACAGGTCGGTCATCCGTCAAGTTATAAATGAAGTGATTGATAAGGAGACTGTAGAATCTCTAGAGTCCTATCAATGACTATCTATAAACATTAAATAAACGATGTGCGTCTCTTTCTATATAACATGCACGTGTACACTCAACCCCCCTGACTAGTCGATTTGTTCCAAAACAAACAATGGACGTCCCTCGGAGAAGTAAATTATCAAGAAGATTATTATTAGATGAACTAATTACATTTTGTCATTTAGAGAAATCACATCCCGTCTCGGCTTTATTGGGCAAGTGGAATTGACAATATTATTGTAATTAAACCATTTCTTTAAAAATAATTGTGCTTGATAGCCATAAGAGATATTTATCGAAACGTGTATAAACCAGTGATTGTTTTCCGTATAAATTGTGTTGTGTTTTTAGTGTAGCGAAATTCTAGTCAATGATAAAATTATTTCTTGGGGGCTGAATGTTTTCAGAAATAAACGCACAGTTGAAAATCAAATTTTATATAATAATAAAAAAAATTTCCGTCATTTAATATCGATTGTTCTTTGTATCCCTGAAAAGCATCGAGTGAAATGCCAAACTTCAATACTAGAAATACCCATCTTTCAAAAACAATGACATACTTCAAAAAAAGTATATTTATATATTTTTTAAATTGATATTTTCTTCTTAATGTTTATCTTTATATCTGGATATTGTTTTTATAGACACCCTATTGTTTAAAATACGAAATACAATTAATATTTGGTTTAAATATTCTCTAATGTTTCACGCTATCTTATAAATATACTGACGCATGTTTAAAAATATTATCTAATGTTTAAATATATTGTCTAATGTCTAAATATATTGTCTAATGTTTAAATATATTGTCTAATTTTCAAATATATTATCGTCTTCATTCGTCCGGTTTATTCAGAAACGCGGGGCCTTAAACCACATTTCATGTTTTAAATATATCATCTAATATTCTATAATTTTTGTTTTGTTCTAGGTCTGGTTCCAGAACCGACGTGCTAAATGGAAGAAACGAAAGAAGGCCACCAATGTATTCAGAACACCCGGTGCACTTCTGCCATCGACGGGATTTGGACCTTTTGGTACCATGAGTGAGACGTTCTGTACGTTTCCGGGGACCGATCCACGTTGGGCCAGTATGCAACAATTTGGTTCCCCGATGAACGCCAATGTCAATCCTCTGACGTTATCTGCCAGTTTACCACGCCAAGGCTTTGCTCAATCTCTGTCGTCACAAGTACCTGTCGGTACGCTTGGTAACGGTTCAGTATCTCTTAGCAACGGTATCTCAGTATCGAACGGCGGCTCGGCCATCTACAATCCTAGTTACGGTGTAACGTCGACCTGTTCGTCTCCGTTAACAGCCAACTCGCCATCGCCAACTCTTACTACGTCACAAATGTCGTGTGGCATGCAGGAAATGGATGACGTATGGAGAGGAACAAGTATTGCCGCACTGAGAAGAAAAGCCCTCGAGCATTCAGCGTGTTTAACTGGATTCCGTTAAAACATAAAAAAAAGAAGAAAAAATTGTATTTTATAGTTGAAATTATTAGAACTCATTTAATTGTTTTAAGAAAAGTGCTTTTTTATTTCTCTTCAAAGTGTTATATTAAATTCACACTTTAAAATCTAGTCAAATTTGAAATCGTTTTTATTGAAAATAAAAATAAAATGAATAATATTAATTTATGATTTTTTTTTTTTTGTAAATAGCTTATAATTATAATAATTGTTGTATATATATTTTAATTTAATTGTAAATAAACAAAATTTTCTGTCATTGTATCGTTTTAAATTTTCGTCCAATGTTTTGAATTAATTAATAAAACTAGTTAATTATTGTTAATATATCGTATTATTACATCCATTCCCCCGCTAGTCAAGACTAAATGTTAAATTAGAAATTGAAGAAAAATTGACAATAAATTAATTACATTGACTATTATTTAGTTTTGTTTAGTTATTCACGTGATTTGTTGTGGTTTGGGGTGTATTTTTGTTTTGTTTTTTAAATCTCGTTGAGTGGGATTTTTAAGTTGCAAGGAAAATAAAACACAACATTTTATTATTTCTGTTTAATTTCTTTGAAATAATTAGAATGGACGACCGATGTTTCGTAGAATAAAAGCGAAAGATTGTTTCCACGGTATTAATGTAGTAATTGGACTATACCAATGACAAGTTTATAGAGAAAAACAACTGTTTATTATCATGGACCGTCTATGTAGTATATATCAATGATGAAATGAAATGAAATAAAATGGGGTTTAACGTCCTACTGTTCTGCTCCGACTGGGCTAATGAAGATGGGCATACGCCATACAGTGTGCTATGAGGGAAAATTTGCCCAGGCAGCGGCGCTACGGCCTACTCTTATATCGAATTCCAACTGCCGAGGGATGTTTTACGTTCACGCCAATGTGTACACGGGACCTCGGTTTTTCGTCCCATCCGAACGACTAGACAACTGTCCTTGCCAGGCCCTGACAAGGGGAAACCACTATCAATGATGATAAGCGAAAGAGATATGGTAATTGAAAATTAATATTGTCAGTGGTGCAGGACTTCGAGTCCTGCGGATGGGATTTGAAATAAACAAACATATATGCCGGGGTTGGAAGAACAGTAGGGAGTTGGACGTGGGAGGTGGAATGTCGGACGGGGGAGTATGTCGGGGTGGTGGGGCAGCGGTAGGGGGTGGAGTATGCCGGGGTTGGAAGAGCAGCAGGAAGTTGGGCGTGGGGGTGGTGGGGCATGTCGGGGTGGTGGGGTAATGGATCGAAGGGGAGGAGGAAAGTGTGTTGGGGGGTAGGGGGTATTTTATAGACCGGGTCGGGTTGACAAGAGTATGTACCGGAGGAAGAAAAGCTTTGTTTGGTTTCTCGTTTTCATCCGATTGTAATCCAAGCAGAGAGGTTATTTACCGTTCATATTTTCATTTCGTTTTCGTAAAGATACATTATGTAAGAGGTAAGTCTGACCATTGCTGGTCTTTCTTTTGGCCTCAGCGTTTATTTAAATTATTAATTAGACATTTACATGTATTAACATTTCAAATTATTACTTAGACATCTATTAACATATTAAATCCACCGTTGGTATACAGGTCTTTCGTTTGGCCTCAGATGTTATTTAAAATATTAATTAGACATTTATTAGCATGACAAGACCATAATTAATTCTCTAGGACATCGGATGGTCGCGATTTTCAATGGATTTAAACAAGATCATCGTTTAATAATTGAATTTAAAAAAAAATAAATAAAACGGATAATCGAGACTTTGTTTAATAATACTGGTAATAATAATAATAATAATAATAATAATAATATGTCCATTTATTTATATAGCGCTAAATCCACAAAACCTGTTAATAGCGCACGTAACAACGGTAGAAATAACAATCGAGACACCGCTATTCCCCAGCAGCCATAACTTTATCTATTTTTTGTAACTTTTATAACGAGAACTATCAGGTCTTTATCTTAATCTTACATAATTTTCAAAACTACGCTCAGAATAAAGGACTGAAATTTAAAATATCCTCTTTTCGTTTCATGAATATAACTGTCATGCCTTAATAACAAAAATAAAAGATTCTAAAAATATAAATATTCATTTTACCTTAAATTTAATTAATATTTAAATATAAAAAAAAACCCAGAAAAACACCCAGACAATTATCACAAAACATACATTTTCATATTATAAGTATTGATTATACCGTAAATATCTAAAAATAGTTTTCAAAAACATCTATTGTATCGGAGAATAATTGATATTTTGCTAACAAAAATAACAACTATGACAATAATTACTCCTGGGAGGTTGGATGGTCGAATGGTTAGCGCGTACGCGTTGTATCGCATAAGGTCTGTCATTAAGTCAAATGGCGTGGTTTCGATTCCCCGGTTGTACCTGGCAAGAAGTAGGGTCGCCTGTCCAACCTTGTGTGTTTTCTCGGTGTCCTTCGGTTTCCTCGCACTGCTAAAGACTCCCTACCCGTAAGTGAATTATTGAAATAAAATTGAACCATGTGTTAGTCCAGAAATGACCTAGTTTGTGTCGAGTGGACGTTAACCCCCATTTTTCCCGCTCTCCCTCTCTCGCTAATTACATTTACAAGTAATATCAAAATACATTTTACCAGATTTGATAGCGGACAAAAATATTTAAAAATATTTGAATTAATTTATATTAATTTCGACACAAGCGTGATTACTTTGGTGGAAGCGGACGTTAAAGAACCATGGTACTACTCTAGTAAACACAGTCAACTGATTTTAAAATAATATTGGACTACCGGTAATATTAACGCGGTTATTGGTCGACATGGATACGAAAACTATAGATGGATACAGTTTAATGTTGATCACGTTGTCAATGATAGCACGACTTGACATAGCACGTTCACGCTAATAGAAGTATATTATGTATTGTCATTGAGTCAAGTGGCATGGTTTCGATTCCACGGTTGTACGTGACAAGGAGTAGGGTTGCCTGTCCACCCTCGTGGGTTTTCTCCGGGTCCTCCGGTTTCCTCACACTACTAAAGACCCCCACGTGCACGCGCATTATTGAAATAAAATTGAACCATGTGTTAGTCCCGAAATGACCTAGTTTGTGTCAAGTAGACGTTAAACCCCATCTCTCTCTCTCTCTCTCTCTCTCTCTCTCTCTCTCTCTCTATCATATCATATCATGTATTGGTTTAAACAGTATTTATTTCAAGAATATTATACAATATAAAAGCATAAACACTAGGATACAAAAACATACATTATGACGTCACATTAATAATGACGTCATTGTATTAATCATATTAAACATACATTATGCAAGAGGTAAATCTGTCTATTTCAGGTCTTTCTTTAGGCCTAAAATGTTTCTAAATTATTAATTAGACATTAATTAACTTATCCAGGCCATAAGCAGCTCTCGATGACATCGGATTTCTCCGATATTAAATAGATTAGAATAGTTCACCAATATTTTGATTTAAGCTAAAAAAAAAAAAAAAAATGGAGGAGCAGTACAGTGGTTGAAATTGTTGCACACGTCTTGTCAAACCTTCAAAGGCTAATATCTTCGCTCGCAATAGAGTAATTTGAATGGAATTTTTCAATTATTCATTTTACATTTTCTATTTTCGAACTAGTATAGCAAGCATGGCTAGCTCTTTAGCTAAATCTTACATAATGTATCTTTAATTTGACACATGAAGGATTTATTTTAGCGACGTTTCGACGAGGGCTCTCTCGTCTTCATCCAGTTAGTAAATGCCACTTAAATAATTTATATTAATTTTCTTTCTTCTTGTTTGGGTGTATAATATATGTACAATTTCACATTATATATGATACAGACAAAAACTAATTATATTATTTTAGTTATCGTACAAATAAGTAGATAAGTAATTTTGAATAAATAAAATAAAAAAATAAATACATACACTGTATTAATATATTTTAAAGAATTATACATTGATTGGAATGCCTGGGATAGGACGAACTTGTTTCTGTATATATCATAACCCCATTGTGGCATAGGCCCTTGATCTTTTTGTTGTAATTTTGACTATATATATGTGGTTTCAAATTTTGTTATATTGTATTAGCTTGAAAACGTTGAGAGAATACTCTTCGAAACGTCGCCTAAATAAATCAGTAGTTGTTTTCTATAAGTATGTTTATAGTTTATTTATCTGCCCAGTTACTAAATGTCACTTAATGAATATAAGTATGTTTATAGTTTATTTATCTAACCAGTTACTAAATGCCTCTTAAAGAATATTAATAAGTCTATATACAACACACAGTCGATCGGCAGAATATTTATTGTTGGCTCGCTTTAGACCATAAGATCTTTCATTGAATAAAGTGGTTACTCGACATGCATCCCACCCCCTTTGTGCGTGACAAGGTGTCGGGTCGCTTGCCTCTCTCTCTCCCTCTCCCCCTCTCTCTCTCTCTCTCTCTCTCTCTCAATCGCCTTTTCTTGTGGACAGGTCGTTTGTGACCGGGATCATGACTGTAACTTGGTGAACGTAGCTGTGAACTTCTATTTACAATATCTATTCTTTAACTATTATAGCGAGAATTGTCAACTCTTTATCTAATCTCCCATAATTTATCTTTAAGTATTTAATTCATTATTGTTTAGGTTAATGTCTCTAGTGATAATCCTGTATGTTTTGATGTCAATACTTGAGTTTATCCATTTATAGTTAGAATATGAAAAGGCTAATGTCCATCAATAGGCAAGTCATTAGGTCACCCGACTTAGTAGAAGCTACGTCGGGCATCCACGATGCTGGAAGTGTACATTGTATATTGAATTATTGTCATTTATAAGATATGAATTTCCAGTAATTAAAAGATTGAAGAACCATTCCAGACTTATTAGTTATTGAAGAACCTAGCGGTTATAATAAACAAAGTCTCAATTATTAAACTAAATTATTGAATTGCGATCTTGTTTAAATCCATTAAAAATCTCTGCCATCTGATGGTCTAGAGCGTTAATTATGGGCTTGTCATGTGAATAAATGTCTAATTACTGCAATCTTTAATAATGTTTTGACATCAGATACCCCTAACTACTTATTTTGTCGGGATAGGTCACTACACAGTTAGGGTTACCCGACTGCATTAACGTCAGACCATAATCAACTCTAGATGGTATCGCTAGCCTGCGATCTTTAGTGGACTATGAGCCGATTTACTGCATAACTTTCCTTCGCGATTGGGGATCACGGTGGCTAAGTGGGTAAGGCGCTGGCTCGCTAGCCTGGAGGTCGGGTGTTCGATCCCTGCATTGGCCGAGAAAGTTCATCCAGATTTTCCGGCGTGGTTCCCCCTTGTCAGTGATGCAGGACGGAGGGCCTGACAAGGACAGCTGTCTAGTCATTCGGATGAGACGAAA